GGAAGTGCTAACCATTTAGCCACTGTGCTGACCCAGTAGGTCTGTTCTGTTTTTTCAAAAGAACAAGCTCTCTTTCATTTACTGGGATGAGATAAACCATTACTGGCCGGTTTTACAAAGATCAGCATTTATTCATGTAAAACCTTTATCCCAAAAGGAAAAAACTGTTTACTGTAACTGCTCATAAAGTATTAGCAGCTACTTCTTTCTATACCTAACTGCCACACTCCCATGTAAAACATTACAAAAATAAAAAATATATATATTTGTTGGAGTTTGGCTTCAATTTGTTAGTGTATCTTCATCTGCTAGTACATCTAACACTCCTCTCTTCCCAGACTGACAATCCTGCTGTCCAAAGGTGCCCCCTGTGCTCCTTCATCCAGAGTGAGGGCACTCTAATACCGGAGGTGTGTTACTGGCTGGATCACCTGGTGAAAACAAAGGGGAAAAATAGCTTAAAAAAAAAAACTAATGCAGCCACCACATGTAATGATTGGTAAGCTGCAACATATTACATTTTTGGTTTTGGGTTTAATACCGCTTTAAGTAAAAGCATTGAAATTTAAATATCTTTAAAAAAAACATACTATGCACATCCATCTAATTCCATTAAAGAACATGAGATGAAGATCCAGAACCAGCTGAAGCTTGGGGTGGGAAACAATCTTTTTTTTTTTTTTTTAACCTCCTCTAAAATGGAATGTTTAAAGCAATCTCGGCTGGCCTGCCTGACATTCTACAGACCTTTTTTTTTTATCTACAATAAACATTAAGGATCTTTTTCCTCTAAACAGCCATGTATTGCCACTCCATTCTCATAATATTTTGCTTAAGAGGTTTTTTTGGTACCCAAATGCATTACCGAGCGTTTGCCTACATTTAATCTATGCTGCCATTTATCTGCTCATTTCTGTCTTGTGTCAGTATATTTTTGGACTCCACGTGCCAGTCCTTTTTGAGCACTTTATCTTACTTGTAAAAGGGAGTCAGATTGTCCTTGAAATATAGTCAGCCTTTTGCATCCTCTGCCTTAAAGGAGAACTCTAGCTGAAAAATAATAACGTATTTATTTAATTTACTGCATTTTTACATAATTAATGTCGCTGCACAGCAGGGTAGTTCATTACATTGCTGTGTGGGGACATACACCACCAAACTACTCGTACACTCCCTCATCATCTCACGTCTGGACTATTGCAACTCCCTTCTCACCGGCCTATCCAAACGAACGCGATCCCCACTCCAGTCGATCCTGAACTCAGCGTCCAGACTCATCCCACCTCACCAACCGCTCCACATCTGCCTCCCCCCTCTGCCAATCCCTTCATTGGCTCCCGATTGGCCAACGCATCAAGTTCAAGCTGCTAACCCTGACCTACATGGCCATTCACAATGCCGCCCCGAACTACATAACTGACCTGATACCCAAATACTACCCTACCCGTTCCCTCCGCTCCTCACAGGACCTCCTGCTCTCTGGCTCCCTGGTCTCCTCCCACACCCGATTGCAGGACTTCTCTAGGACTTCCCCCATCCTCTGGAACTCCCTACCCCAATCCATCAGAATGTCACCTACCCTCCTCACCTTCAGGCGCACCCTGAAAACCCTCCTCTTCAGGGAAGCCTACCCCAACCTCACCTAACAACTAACCTCCTCCACTCCTCCCACCACTCCATCCCCCCACAGCCATCTCCTCCTGTGCCACCTTCCCCTCCCTCCTAGATTGTAAGCTCGAAAGAGCAGGGCCCTCAAACCCCTCGTGTATTGTATTGTTACTGTCTTGTCTCATGTTCTGTCCCCCCTGCTATTGTACAGCGCTGAGCAAACCCTTTGGCGCTATATAAATACTGTATAATAATAATACGATGCCATCCAATGAGGTGCACAGAAATACAGACAGTAGACCGCGCATCTCCTAGATTGTAAGCTCCAAGGATCAGGGCCCTCCTAACCCTCTTGTATTGAACTGTATTGTCTCCCGTTATATTGTAAAGCGCTGAGCAAACTGCTGGCGCTATATAAATCCTGTATAATAACATCACGTCAGCATTGTGGGGTGAATGGGGTGCATAGAAAACAATTGTTTTCTGGGTTCCCTAGCAGTGCCCTGCGTTAAAAAGTTAAAAAGTCACCACAAAAAGTGAATGAGCCTCAATAATTACACCTTCATTCATGCCAGGAAGTAGGCTTTGTATTCTATGGATAGTTCAAAAGGAGGGCAAGAGTATAGGAGGGGCAGAAAACCAGCGGTGCGGCTTCACTGTCTGAAGCAACTTCACAAGTCTTGCATCCATTGAACTTGTGAGTTTTTGGACAGTTTCTGCTTGAATTTGTTTGAAAGATGTCAGAATAGCCTCCCAGAGCTGCTGTTTGGATGTAAACTTCCTCCCACCCTCATAGATCTTTTGCTTGAGGATGCTCCAAAGGTTCTCAATAGGACTGAGGTCAGGGGAGGATGGAGGCCACACCATGACTTTCTCTCCTTTTATCCCCATAACAGCCATTGATGAAGAGGTATTCTTTGCAGCATGAGATGGTGCATTGTCATGCATGAAGATGATTGTATTACAGAAAGCATAGTTCTTCCTTCTGTACCAGGGGAAGAAAGTGGTCAGTCATAAACTAAACATACTTTGCAGAGGTCATCTTTACACCTTCGGGGACCCTAATGGGGCCGACCAGCTCTGTTCCCATGATTCCGGCCCAAAACATGACTCCACCACCGCCCTGCTGACATCGCAGCCTTGTTGGAACAGGGTGGCCGTCCACCAACCATCCACTACTCCATCCATCTGGACTATCCAGGGTTGCACGGCATTCATCAGTGAACAGGACTGTTTAAAAAATTAGTCTTCATGTATTTTTCTGCCCAATGCTGCCGTTTCTGCTTGTGAGCATTGGTTAGTGGTGTCCAAATAGAAGGTTTATGCACAGTTGCAAGACTCTGGAGGACTCTACACCTTGATGTCCGTGGGACTCCAGAGGCTCCAGCAGCTTCAAATATCTGTTTGCTGCTATGTAATGGTATTTTAGCAGCTGCTCTCTTGATCCGATGCATGGATCTGGCAGAAATCTTCCTCAATGTGCCTTTATCTGCATGAACCCATCTGTGCTCTGAATCAGCCACAAATCTCTTAATAGTGCGATGATCAGTTTTTGTGAAATATCTAATGTTTTCATACCTCGTCCAGGGCATTGAACTACAGTTGCAAGAAAAAGTATGTGATCCCCTTGGGATTACGTGGAGTTTTGCATGAATTGGGCATAAAATGTGCTCTGAACGTCATCTAAGTCACAACAATAGAAGAACACAGTCTGCTGAACATAATACTACACAAACATTGGATGTTGCCATGGTTTAATTGCACATAACATGTAAACATTCACAGTGCAGGGAGGAAAAAGTATGTGAGGCCCTAGCTTAATGACTTCTCCCAGAGCTAATTGGAGCCAGGAGTGAGCCAACCTTGACTCCAATCAGTGTGATGATATTGGATGTGTTGCTGACAGCTGTCCTGCCCTTAAAAAACACACCTGTTTTGGGTTTATTGGTTTCAAGAAGCACTGTCTGATGTGAACCATGCCTCGCAGAAAAGCGCTCTCAGAAGACCTACGATCAAGAATTGTTGACTTGCATAAAGCTGGAAAGGGTTACAAAAGTATCTCCAAAAGCCTTGATGTTCATGTGTCCACGGTAAGACAGACTGTCTACAAATGGAGAAAGTTTAGCACTGTTGCTACTCTCCCCGTGGTCGTCCTGTAAAAATGACTGCAAGAGGACAGCGCAGAATGCTGCATGAGGTAAAGAAGAATCCCAGAGTGTCAGCTAAAGACCTACAGAAATCTCTGGCACATGCTAACATTTTTGTTGACACATCTACAATAAGGAAAACATTAAACAAGAATGGAGTACATGGGAGGACACCACGGAGGAAGCCATTGCTGTCCAAAAAGAATATTGCAGCACGTTTGAAGTTTGCAAAAGAGCACCTGGATGTTCCACAGCACTACTGGCAAAATATACTGTGGACAGATGAAACCAAGATTGAGTTGTTTGGGAAGAACACACAACACTATGTGTGGAGAAAAAAAGGCACAGCACACCAACATCAAAACCTCATCCCCACTGTAAAACATGGTGGAGGGAGCATCATGGTTTGAGGCTGCTTTGCTGCCTCAGGGCCTGGACGGATTGTTGTCATTGATGGGAAAATGAATTCCAGTGTTCTGGAGTGGCCCAGTCAGAGTCCTGACCTCAACCCGATTGAAATGCTGTGGCATGACCTTAAGAGAGCGATTCACACCAGACATCCCAAGAATATTGCTACACTGAAACAGTTTTGTGAAGAGGAGTGGTCCAAAATTACTCCAGATCGTTGTGCAGGTCTGATCTGCAACTACAGGAAACGTTTGGTTGAGGTTATTGCTGCCAAAGGAGGGTCAACCAGTTAAGTCCAAAGGTTCACATACTTTTTCCTCCCTGCACTGTGAATGTTTACATGTTATGTGCAATTAAACCATGGCAACATCTAATGTTTGTGTAGTATTATGTTCAGCAGACTGTGTTCTTCTATTGTTGTGACTTAGATGACGTTCAAAGCACATTTTATGCCTAATTCATGCAAAACTCCACGTAATCCCAAGGGGTTCACATACTTTTTCTTGCAACTGTATTTACTAAAAAATAATTGCTCAGTGTGGTGTGCTATATTGCTAGCAGAATGTTGTTTTTTGTTTTTTTTTGAGGAGAGTGCATGTCATCAGCACGAGGCCAATCAGTGTTGTCTAGACAGAGGGTCAGGGGCTGTGCAGCCTCATAGGACAATCAGGGGAGAATGAAAACAAACAAAGCTCTACTGGGCACTGATAGAAGTCACAAGACTGCTATATGCTGCTGATGAATATTTGCATTTCCTTGTTATGTGGGAGACTGAATATAGTGAATGCAGGGTCCGGGGAGACCAGATATAGTGAATGCAGCTTCCAGAGAGACCAGATATAGTGAATGCAGGATCTGGGTAGACCGGATATAGTGAATGCAGGGTCCGGGGAGACCGGATATAGTGAATGCAGGGTCCAGGGAGACCAGATATAGTGAATGCAGGGTCCGGGGAGACCAGATATAGTGAATGCAGGGTCCGGGGAGACCGGATATAGTGAATGCAGGGTCCGGGGAGAGCGGATATAGTGAATGCGGGGTCTGGGGAGAGCAGATATAGTGAATGCAGGTTCCGGGGGGAGACCGGATATAGTGAATGCAGGGTCCAGGGAGACCAGATATAGTGAATGCAGGGTGCGGGGAGAGCGGATCTAGTGAATGCGGGGTGCGGGGAGAGCGGATCTAGTGAATGCGGGGTGCGGGGAGAGCGGATCTAGTGAATGCGGGGTGCGGGGAGAGCGGATCTAGTGAGTGCGGGGAGAGCGGATCTAGTGAATGCGGGGTCCGGGAGAGCAGATATAGTGAATGCGGGGTCCGGGGAGAGCAGATATAGTGAATGCGGGGTCCGGGGAGAGCAGATATAGTGAATGCAGGGTCCGGGGAGAGCAGATATAGTGAATGCAGGGTCCGGGGAGAGCAGATATAGTGAATGCAGGGTCCGGGGAGAGCAGATATAGTGAATGCAGGGTCCGGGGAGAGCAGATATAGTGAATGCAGGGTCCGGGGAGAGCAGATATAGTGAATGCAGGGTCCGGGGAGAGCAGATATAGTGAATGCAGGGTCCGGGGAGAGCAGATATAGTGAATGCAGGGTCCGGGGAGAGCAGATATAGTGAATGCAGGGTCCGGGGAGAGCAGATATAGTGAATGCAGGGTCCGGGGGAGAGCGGATATAGTGAATGCAGGGTCCGGGGAGAGCGGATATAGTGAATGCAGGGTCTGGTGAGATCGGATATAGTGAATGCAGGGTCTGGTGAGATCGGATATAGTGAATGCAGGGTCTGGTGAGATCGGATATAGTGAATGCAGGGTCTGGGGAGATCGGATATAGTGAATGCAGGGTCTGGTAAGATCGGATATAGTGAATGCAGGGTCCGGGGAGACCGGATATAGTGAATGCAGGGTCTGGTAAGATCGGATATAGTGAATGCAGGGTCCGGGGAGACCGGATATAGTGAATGCAGGGTCCGGGGAGACCGGATATAGTGAATGCAGGGTCCGGGGAGACCGGATATAGTGAATGCAGGGTCCGGGGAGACCGGATATAGTGAATGCAGGGTCCGGGGAGACCAGATATAGTGAATGCAGGGTCCGGGGGAGAGCGGATATAGTGAATGCAGGGTCCGGGGAACCGGATATAGTGAATGCAGGGTCCGGGGAGACCGGATATAGTGAATGCAGGGTCCGGGGAGACCGGATATAGTGAATGCAGGGTCCGGGGAGACCAGATATAGTGAATGCAGGGTCCGGGGAGAGCAGATATAGTGAATGCAGGGTCTGGGGAGATCAGATATAGTGAATGAACAATGGAAAGCTAGTTATTGGGAAAAGTAGAGTCAGGAAATTGTATGAAAAGCATACGTTTGTAGGCGTTTTTTTCTGCCGCTCCCAGTGAAGTCTTTATGGACCAAAAACTTGCACCGCTGCCCTGCTGTACTTTTCCAAGCTTTGAGCTTCATCTATATCAGATTCTTATTCTAGATGAGGATCTTAGTTTTTAATCCCCCACACAAAAAATAATGGTGCTTTATCCATACACACAGCCTGGTAGGCGAGAAAGGGGGGGGGTGAGCGTTCATCCCTCCCAAACCATACACTCAACATGGGGGTACTTTGCCAGCCTTGCTCCTATATTGATTAGGATAAGGGCTTCTCCCCCACGATTCTGGCCCAGTGATTGTGGAGGTCTGCAGGCAGGTGGGGCTCATCGGAATCTGCCAGTCCTGTTCAATGGATGATGTACAACCATCTTCAGTCGCAGCCAAAAAACTCCGCTATGCTTCTATAAAACAAAAATGTTAGCAAAAATCCTTCTGTGTAATTCCTGCGGAGATGTTTTTATCTTTTACAAATACAGAGTTCTACTTCAACTGCTTGGTTCAGCACAACTGACTTTTTATACTACCATAGCGCGTTATCGTTCCGTATTTTTGTTTCACGTTTTCTTCACAATCGCATCTCGTGCAATCTCATTTGACAAGTTCTCTTTGATGATGCAGGAAATATCTCGAGTCTTCGGAGAATACTCTGTGCTTTGTTCAGTGGGAGTATTACACGGACCTTTTTGCACTTTTTACAACGCAAAACCACAGTTCATGTTGGTACACCACTGATTTCAGAGGAGCCTGTTTTCAGCAATGCAGCTTATATGTACATATATTGTATTTTACTTTTTTACAGTATTGCGTATTACAGTAACATGCAGAAATGGAATGGACTGTAGAAAAAAAATTTGCTTACCTATAAACTAGTGTCTGTTGTCCCCTTCAAAGTAGTGCCCTTCTGAAGTGACACACTTTTCTAGAAGACTCTGCCACTGCCTGAAACATTCCTGGAATTCGTTTTCCAGAACGCTGCGCAATATCTTTGTTGGATGTGCGAAATGTCATCAAACCTGTGTACTTTTAAGGCATTTTTAATTTTGGACACAAAGTCGCAGGGTGCTATGTTAGGGGAATAAGATGGTTGGTCAAGTTTTGGAATAGATTTCTGGGCCAGGAACCCGTGAACACTTAATGTATCTTGTGCAGGAGCATTGTCGTGGTGAAAAATCCACCTGTCAGGCCAGAGTTCCAATCTTTTCCTCTGAACAGATCCCTGTAACCTTTTCAATTTCCACATTTGCATCTGTCCTTTGCATTTTTCTCTGCCTAATACTTCGTAGACATCTTCCCATCCCTCTGTAAACCGCCTATGCCATTGATTTCTTCATGTTCACCATCTTCAAGTTTCACTCATCTTTTGCCAATTTTTGTGAAAAATGTTATGGTAATCCACTGCCAACTGTTCTGTGACCCAGGTGGGTGCAAGTTAGAACATGTCAGAACACGCTCGAGTGGTAATGGCTGTGTGTCTCACCGCCACAGTGTTACGCCATGGGCGTTAAATTGCCACACTTAACTCTTTTGTATGTTCATGCCACAGTGTACCATGGAGCATTTCAGTTTTCTGAAAGCTTTTTCACCACTTTTTACATCATAACTTAATAAAAAGTAAGTGTTGGTCCTGAAAGTACATAAGACAGAAGCAATGTAATACTGTGTGTTAATGTATTTGCATACAGTTGTGTCCAAAATTATTCAACCCCACTGAAATTGAGTGTTTTGGCCAGTTTGACATTGCTTTTGATCATTCAGTCATCTTGCTTACATTTACATTAAAGAGGCACTTGTAGGTCAGACAAATATAACATAACAGTTATAATGAAATAACCACAAATGTCTTTTCTGTGCTCACAGCATTATCAGTTTTATTCAACCCCCAAGTGACATTCAATCTTAGTACTTAGTACAGCATCCTTTTACAGTTATAACAGCTTTTAAACGTGAAGCATAGCTTGACACAAGTGTCTTGCAGCGATCTACGGGTATCTTCGCCCATTCTTCATGGGCAAAGGCCTCCAGTTCAGTCACATTCTTAGGCTTGCGCACTGCAACTGCTTTCTTTAAGTCCCACCAGAGGTTCTCAATCGGATTTAAGTCTGGTGACTGCGATGGCCACTCCAAAATGTTCCAGCCTTTCCTCTGCAACCATGCTCTAGTGGACTTGGAGGTATGCTTGGGATCATTGTCCTGTTGAAAGGTCCAACGTCTCCCAAGCCTCAGGTGTGTGACGGACTGCATCACGTTTCCATCCATCCAATATCTCCTGGTACTGAAGAGAATTCATGGTACCTTGCACACGCTGAAGCTTCCCTGTACCTGCAGAAGCAAAACAGCCCCAAAGCATGATTGACCCTCCACCATGCTTCACAGTAGGCAAGGTGTTCTTTTCATCATAGGCCTTGTTCTTCCTCCTCCAAACATAGCGTTGATCCATGGGCCCAAACAGTTCTAATTTTGTTTCATCAGTCCACAGAACACTATCCCACAACTTTTGTGGTTTGTCCACATGGCTTTTGGCATACTGCAGTCGACTCTTCTTATTCTTTGGAGACAGCAAGGGGGTACGCCTGGGAGTTCTGGCACGGAGGCCTTCATTACGCAGTGTGCGTCTTATTGTCTGGGCTGAAACTTCTGTACCCACATCTGACAAATCTTTTTCTCAGTTCCTCAGCAGTCACACGGGGACTTCTCTCCACTCTACGCTTCAGGTAGCGCACAGCAGTCGAAGTCAGCATCTTCTTTCTGCCACGACCAGGTAGCGTTTCAACAGTGCCCTTTGCCTTGAATTTGCGAATGATGCTTCCTAAGGTGTCTCTTGGTATGTTTAACATCTTTGCAATCTTCTTATAGCCATTGCCCTTCCTGTGAAGAGAAATCACCTCTTCTCTTGTCTTCCTGGACCATTCTCTTGCCTTCACCATGTTTGTAACCACACCAGTAAATGTCTAGAAGGAGCTGAGTATCACAGTCATTTTAAAGCTGCCTAATTGGTGCTTATTATGCTTGATTGCTGCTCGGTGACATCCACAGGTGTTTTCAATACCTGATGGAAAGCACCTGTATGAACCTCTGTTCTTCAGAGTGGTAGTCTTTAAGGGGGTTGAATAATTGTGGCAATGAAGAAACCACATAAGAACCATTTACTACTGTATTACATAAACAATTGATGTCATTTTAGTTGCATTTGGGTAGTTACAACGTCCTTGTAGGATTTGATTCTGAATACAATTCCAAATGTACACTATAGTCCCTAAACCCCTTTACAGCATTGGGGGGTTGAATAATTTTGGACACAACTGTAGGTGTGAAAGGAGCAGTGTTCTGGAGAATTTGGATATGGCATGGATAAAATTTAAGTAGCATTTGGAATCAGCCCAATCTAGGTGGAGGGATCATGTGATTCCATAGAAAACCTTAAAGCTATCATTTATTTGGCTTATGGGCCTTCTGGTGTTTATTTAGCACTAATATAATGTTGATTTTTGTTAGCTACTTGAAGCACCAACATATTTTATGATCACAAATGTAAAAAGTAAAGTGCTGTTCTAAAGTTTTAAGCACTTTTGAAAATATGAACTTTTTTTTTTTTTGTTTTCTTTTAATCCATTAATAGTTGTTGGTCATGAACTAACAAAATACAATAAAAGTGCAATAAACAAACGATAAAAAGTAAATATTTGGTTGTGACCACACTTTATCTTCTTATTAGGGATGAGCTGAATGCACCTGTGTTTAGTTCAAGGCAAATGTGCCTTGATGCATGATTTTGCATGATTAAAGGAAAAGGGGGAGAACATGCATTTCTGCCTTGCTAATGAACCATACCAGGCCGCATACCCTCAACATCGGGGGGGGGGGGGGGGGGGGGGGGGGGGGTACCTTTCTGGGGGGGAAAAGTCCCTGGCAAAGCACCTTGTCCCCATATTGCTTAGGACAAAGGCCTCTTCCCCACAGCCCTGACCCAGTGGTTGTGGAGGTCTGTTGTCGTGGGGGGATGTTGTTATCAGAATCTAGCCCCCTTTATTGTTCCAGTATGTACATCCATCATCAGTCATTTTGTCCAGCGATGCAGATCCAGGGCAATCATGTTAAACGCGATCCATCCCCCAATGACAAAAAAAAACCCTGCAGATCGATGGGCACATCCAATCCTGTTGCTAACTAGTGCCGAATAACATCTCCAGTCCTCTTCACTAAAGTAAATAAAGGGGTGGGGTTCCCAGGTGACATCATTTACCAAATCTGGTCTTGTTTGGTCAATGATGTCACGCTATCCCCTTTCTTTTGATTACATGGCTGCAAATTTCTGGCCAACAAATGAATGGGGCTGGGTTTTGTCACTGGTTGCTATGGAAGTGGCAGGTGCTGACACATGCTGCTTCCTTAGACATTGACAGCTGTTCTATATAGTAGAAGTAGAAATATTGCTGCTATACAGTGCCTTGAAAAAGTATTCATACCCCTTGAAATTTTGAAAATGAATTTTAGGAATTTTACTGGGATTTTATGTGATCGATCAACACAAAGTGGCACATAATTGTGAAGTGGAAGGAAAATGATAAATGGTTTTCAAATTTTTACAAATATATATCTGAAAAGTGTGGTGTGAATTTGTATTCAGCCCCCCCAGAGTCAATACTTTGTAGAACCACCTTTCGCTGCAGTTACAGCTGAAAGTATTTTTGGGGATGTCTCTACCAGCTTTGCAGAATTGCTCAAGCTCTGTCAGATTGGATGGAGAGCGTCTGGGAACAGCAATTTTCAAGTCTTGCCACAGATTCTCAATTGGATTTAGGTCTGGACTTTGATGGAGCCAGTCTAACACATGAATATGCTTTGATCGAAACCATTCCATTGTAGCTCTGGCTGGATGTTTCGGGTAGT